ACCTAATGGAGAACCACAATGGTTACCTCAACTATCAAACAAAATATTCACCTGAACTTCTCTTGCATATCACAGACAAACAGCAACGTCCTCTTCACATCGAGATGAGGGACAAGTCGAGTGAACATGTTGCAGATTGCTAATTCTGGAAAGTCTAAACTTACTAATGGAGTCTGAACTCTACTTACGACCAGTGGAGAACAAAAAATAGGTTCAAATGAATGCAACGGTAGAAAGAGCACGAAGTTTTTCGCACTAATAAGTCCCTTCTAGGGAGTTACATTATCTACTGCCATACTAAACAAACTGATATTCTACATTTATACTAAACGAACTGGGAGCGCAGCTTGCTCTGGCACTGTTGCAGTCTGATACCTTTTAATGAAATACAGACAAATATAAGGTCCGGTTTGCTTGAGACAGTATGCTGCGACATCACCGAGAAAGAGCTCCGGTGGGCTTTTGACGAGCCACTAAGATTGGCTGTGAGAAAAACCCAGTTGTAGAACGTACATATAACACTAACATCGCAAAACTTGAAGGAACGAAATTTCTTAGACAGTTTAGAGCACATTTCTGCGAGAGGGCGAGGACGAGCAGAAAATCTGTCCACCGGTCATCCCAACCGTAATGTCCATATTTTCTACAGTATGGGGGTTGAGAGCACGTCCCGCGTTCATGTGTGTAAACGCCGTCCTTGGGCAAAGTAGTCTGGGAGCACAGAGTACTCATTTTCTAGGGGCCCAAAGGTGGTGCGCTTATTCGGCTGGCAGCTCTTTCGATTCCGAGTGATGATAGTTACCACCTCATCATTAGCGACTTGTACCTTCAAAGACAACACACACGGCTGCATATTGTCAATGGTGAAGTCGCCAAGTGTCTAAAAGGGAAGAGAAAAAAAAGCAGAAGATACAGCTTCACTGTACCGGTTCTCCGGACCTGCTCGTTTGATTCCAGCAAAAGGATCTTGCCGGCTCTCGCTCACTACGTTTCTTTGCGTCATCTAATGCTATCACCATCCAGTAAAAAAAGGAATACAACAGTGTAAAAACTGAACTCGTGATAGAAAATAGCTGTGTGGTACATCTGCGGAGTGGCGCCGTTGTCAGTTACTGTGAGGCCGAGAAACTTTACAAACAGCTGATCAAACTACTGGTACAAGGAAGAGCGACTACGAATTGGTTAAGTGCGGAGACTGTCGTTAAGGAGAGTTGAAAGTGGCCATGTTGTGGCGCAATTATGTCCCACCCTTTCCCCTCTTTACGTTCTCCAACTGAAAAGGTGGAAAAGGTGATTCCTTCGGAGGAAGCTTCAGCCTTAGAGAGCACCGACTGAACAGAGTAGGCAGGGCAGTCTCAGGACAGCTTACCTTCGAACAATACATATCTGGCAACCAGTTGGTTCAGTCTAGGCTGTCAGCAAGGACATAAGGATTGGGGGACTGCATTGAAATTGAGCCACCGCGTCGGGCCGGCAAAGAGAACTGCCTTTGAGCTGTCCATAGTGCATGTGCTGCCTGGACGAAAAGTGATGTTAAAACCATCACGCGTCGCTGTGAAAAAAGGAGATTCTGAACAGTGATATGCTTCTTGTACTATTGTGCACGAAGCTGCTAAAAATCTTGCTGACAGAAGTATATCATCGGCAAAGAATGCATTGAGAGCAGAGAGAGGAAACTGCTGGGACAGAATGAACCTGGCTGAGAATAATAATGATCAAACTATTAGGTTGTTCGAAAAGTCCTGCGACACTTTGATTAAATTGTTCTAGAAAAAGACCAAAAATCATTTTGGATGTTTTTATCCCTGATTAGTGGAGAGTGTGTCCTCTGGGGTTTCTGCACATGGGTATATCATGACTTTGAC